AACGGCTGTATAAAAGCGGTTGAGTGCAAAGGTGTTGCTAGTATGTATATAGGGTGTGAGTGCTTGTCCTTTACGCTGTTTATTTTTAATTATTTGATTATCCTATTCTCCAATCATTTATGGGAAGTTGTCATGTTCCTATTGACTCATGATGCCGGTCGAGCGTGCTTCACAGAGAAGCTTGTGGCCCGTCTTAATAGCCGCGCAGCGAAGGTGGAAGATGTGAGATTCGCATACTAGAAGCCACATAGACAATGCTGGGGCACCCACGGAGGAGCCAAACCCTCCGTTTCTCTATCATACAACAACAGCAGCATCAGAAACACCGGCGAAACACGCCTGCGCTTTTAGGCAGTACTTATGTTGAGAGTACGATACAACGTCTTTGTCCTGTATAATTTATGCAACTTCTACCATTATTTGTTTGTAGAATGCGTGTTACGTGGTTATTTCGTAGTAGTTGATTATCTTTGATTCAAGCGTTCATTAATACTTCGGGTCATCAGATGGGGCATACAATGTTCCTTAGGCAGATCGGTGAGCCCCCTACCACTCATCATATTCCCGATCGCAACCGATCAAAAAAACGAGCCGTGGTGCAATAGTAGAGCGTTGTACTCCATGACCAAAGGTAGCCCGTTCGGATATCGGGAGCCGCCACACCTGGGAATTCGGTATGACTGGCTGATGACAGCTATTAAGCTGGAAACGACCATTCAGGTTTCCCTTTTCTCTATCGGTTCCACCTCATATACGCCCGAAATTTGACTACCTGTTCTGCCTGAGAGTTGAGATGCGACATGCAGAGGGTGATCCTCACCTCCTCAGATGGTTCATGATATTTATGCAACCAGTAAAGCATTCTACTAGGGTTGTAGGCCACAACGGGACCAGTACGTTGGGTAATCCGATCGGCGTACTACAATTAATATACCGTATAAATGCAGACAGGACAACAAGCCCGTGGCTTAATCATTTGTGTTGTGTTTCTGACGCCGGTAACCAGAAGAACCACAGGCCTTAAACCTGCAGTTAAATAAGGCCCACATATCAACACCTAACGCCAATTCATATGCCTGCACTGCTGCCGAACGTTCTGCGGACGGATCAGCCTCATCGGATATTGGAAAACCAGAGGCAACAACAACAACCCAAAAACTACATCTGCTGTCTCCGCAAGCGCTTCCATCTATACCCCTACATCAATCGCCCCCCCCCCACGACGGAGAAAATCATCATCGCTGGTGACAACACTTCTTATGCCGACGTCGTCGACCCCACTACCTCAATCACTCATTCCGCAAACACCGCGAAGACGAATACTGCCCTCTCCAACCCCACCATCGGCGAGAACACCTTCAGCAGCCCGTCAACCACTACCACACTCACCCTCGGTACGGACTTGATCCAATCCTGTCGTGATTGCGAGCGAGCCTTCTCACTGCACATCGGCTTGGCGCATCCATCGTACTGAGAACGGCGAACCAATCCCAGGAGGCCGGACTTACTTTCGTTGCTTCCGCCTTTCCTTTACCCACTGCCCACGAGCATGCACTAGCTGCATGGGCCAACTCGGTCAGGTGCGCATCCATGATAAACGCACAGTCGGGAAGACTCTAATACTACATAAACTGCCGAACCAGCG